GGTCGTAGTTCACTCGAAGAAGAATTTCGTGGAGGTGGTCCAAAATCAGTTGTTGTTCCAGAAACCGTTGATACTGTGCACAAACAAATATTGCAAGAGAGTCATGTGGCCTATCGTGAGATTGGGACAACCTTAGGCATTAGTGGGACCAGCATATATTCAATTTTGCATGAACGTTTGACTGTAAAAAAATTGTTTTTGAAAAATTTGTCGATCCTCCAGAAAAGGGACTCGTGTCGATTGATCGAAAGAAATGCTCAAAAAATACGATCGCTGTGCTTCGAAACACGTCTATAGCATCGAAACAGATGACGGATCATGGATTTCTGCGTATGAGCCCGAAAGGAAACAGCAGTCGACCGTATGGATATTCCAAGATGAGCCACATCCAACAAAAGCCGTCCGCGCACCAAGCACTTCCAAGCAATTAACCTCCTGTTTCTTTGGAAAAACTGGGCATGTCGGAACCGTACCATTAGGACAAGCAGAACAGTTAATTCTGAGTGGTATACCACCATTTGTTTGTCAGTTGACTTTCAAAGAATCAGGGAAAAAATTGCTGCAGACGGAACACTCTTCACCCCGACAATGCGAGCTCCCACACATCGGCTCAAACAACTCCATTTTTGAGCTCTCAAAACAACGATTTGACAGGTCATAAGCCATGTAGCCCCCGGGTGACTTCTTCTCATCCCGTACGTAAAAAATAAAATGGGAAGTCAACGTTTTTCGACACCTGAAGAAGCCGTTGATGCGTTCAGAATCCATGTTTTAGAGTTACCTACATCAGAGTGGCAAAAGTGCTTCGAAAATTGGTTCGAGCCCATACAAAAGTATATAGATCTTAATGTGGAGATTTTTGAAAGGCAGTAAACGTTTTCAATAAATAGTATTTGTTTCGGTTCTCAAATCTCAAAATATAAAAGGCAACCTACGTATGTAGTGATTGAGGCACCCCTGTTCTCAGACCCTAGACGCTAGAGCACAAATCAGTAGTACTAGCCAGCTTTGTGGGTCTGTAATGATGCTCTCCAAGCAGGAATAGTATGATGTCATGATACCGCTTATACTTTTCAAAAGAAAAGAATTTTTCCCCCATCTTTATTACCCTGAGTGAAAACATTCCCAAGTGCCATTACAGACTCAAGGAGCCTGCTACCCTTCCCTTCTCTGCCATCTAACGCCTAGTGCTGGAGAAGAAAAGTGCCCCCATCCCAACTAGACTTTCACTCGATTTGAATTGGATTACCACTCACTTAAATATATGCCCATAATCAGGGTTTCCATCAAAGAGGTCGACGTAGGCCGTCCAGCTACAAAACATCTGAAAAAACGTTCGGAAAACAAAGTACCTCTATGCTCCATACTGGAACGGGACCGTTCACTTGGAATAATGACGACACCAACAAAGGACCAAGGGTACGAGCCAGACTCCCGGACATCAGCATGATTCCTTGCATGGTTCCCTGAAAGAGCTGATTGTAAAAACGACTACAATCACTTAACATATTTGAGCGGCACTTTTCTCTATTTAATACTACCAAGTAAGATTTTGTTTACTTTTTTCACACTTTTTTAATTTTTTTGTCCTTTGTTGGGTTTAGATACAGCAACCCACCGCTTCGAAGGAACTAAGAGGCAATAGAAGATGGTGTTGTTCCTGAACTGCTTAGGTTTTGGAGCTACAACTTTAGGATAAGGCAAACATTTGATCTGGAAAACTTTGAAAAACTTCTCCATCCGTCTTTCCCCCATCAACCTTCCCCCTCCACTCCCTCCGTAGACCCCTATCCATGCGCATGAATTGATACCACCTGATACCCCAAGATTTAAAAAAAATACTATAACCGGCAGCCAAATTTTTGTGGGTATGTTGATAGCTTGGATATGCAGGGTCTTCCGAGGTTGATTGAAGTTGAGGATCTTCGTATCAAGATATCACCGCATAGTTCGGAGACAATTTTTCCTTTAGCTCTGCTGAACGCAATTGTTCAAAATGCTCGATCTTGTCCGAGCCGTTGTAAACATTCTGTCACGATCTGAAGTACCTCTAAGTTTCTTTCTTATTACAGCCCTATGTTTTCGAATTGTTCGCACCGAGTGCTGGTATTAATTATTATTGACTTAGGACGCTAAAGAACTTTGAAGCTAGTACCACCACGTTGGTTCGTCAGGGGACCGCAGTTGTCGGTCCGCAGGGTTCTCGTAGCGCAAATAAACCTGTCGCAATGTTCCTCCGAATTTTCCCTGATTTCTGATGGAAATGGAAGGATTTATGGCTAACTGAAGAAAAAGTTTGTTATCGAAATCCTGCTAGCTCTATAATAAAAGACTTTGTGTAGAGGACTGTCTTCCGTCCCTTCTTCCGAGGATTCACGCGATGCAGTGGAGTGATTTGCCTCGTGTCCTGGAATTCAGAATGGAATCAGAAGCATCAGTATCCGTCAACGGTTGGAGATCGGGGACACCTTTGCTAACTTCAAGAAGTCGAAGAACAGCTAAGCCCGCTTTGTCATGGGTCTTTGCAGTGACCGTTGGATCAAGGCAGTTATTGACATGATCCCTCGAGAAGACAAATGAACACGACGATGGCCACTAGCACGATGGTCAGACTTTCACGAAAGCTCCAACGGAAGGAATACTACATATGCATCAGTCCCTGGAGTGAGGACGGTCCTCTGGGCTACTCGGGATCGCGGCAAGGACAAAAAGGGACTTCACTTTGCCCGTCTTAGAAAGTCGATGAGACGAAATAGGTGAGTGTGTCTCGTAGAAGCTGGATAGAAATGGCAAAAAACTTTCTCGGTATGGGTTTCTCAGATTATAGGAAGATGGTAACATGAGAAAAGCCGCTTACATATACAGATCTCACCTGCTACCTGAGAACTTCTTATAGCCTTTGCTACAGTGGCTTACCTGTCTCCGAGCTCCGAGGATCTTACTGAATAGCGTGTTCATCGATACATTCACTATTGGGAAACAAGCTGCCAGCAACGTGCAATATAGTACAGCGTAAAGCCAAAAGCTCACCTTAAAAATCGTAGTCAAACATCATAGGAAGATCCTGTAAATGGGAAGCTTCTTTTGATCATAACTCGCTTCATCTATTTTACTTGCATTATTGACTGAAAGTGAGTATGAGCCAGCTGGTCTCCTAGGGAATACACACACTCCAGTAGTACTGGGCCTTCCCCCGGGATCTCGCACACTTCAGTCCGAGGATCCTTTTACAACACAGTTTTGGAGAGACGTTCAGAGTTGTTGAAGCCTTCCAGCCCTGATCAAGTCCGTTTCTAGAGTGCAGCTCTGCATTTAGCTCCCCTTCGGAATCGAAGAGACGTTTGAATGTGTATGTGGTCTATACAATGACATGTGGTGGCTGGCCGATGTACAGGTTTGTGCTCTCACCCTCCCAGACAAGCCTGGCACCCCGGTAACCAATTCCCGAGGATGGAAGACTTAGTTGGCCAAAGTGAAAATCGATCTGGGATCCAATCCCCTGGCCATAGGCGTGAATTAGGGCATCAGTAGGCACTCTCTAACTCGCTCTCGAGGGAATACTGGAATATTGAGTCCAACTTTTAACTAACATGACCTCAACTGTGTCGGATTCAGTTATAAAGGGAAATTCTGCAGTCTCTACTCTCTTCATACTGTAGGGAGAAAAATCAGCCCAAGCAATGAGAAGAATAATGTGTTCCTTCAATAGGACAGCCATGCCGATGAACACCAAGGAAGAGCATTCCGTGTGTTCACGAGGTTCAACTGAAAGTATGGCGCTTTTTGCTAGGGGCTGGCGCAAAGGAATGTATGGAACTAGAATGTTAGTGGCAACCTAGAATTCAATGTTCAGCAGAAAGATTGTACGTCAACTTACATCGTGGGTCGAAGTACACCATTTGTACTCGCTGGGGTCGCACCCGACGCCTTCATTGTTCTTTGTTTCATCTGAAACCATAGAAGAGTAACGCTTTGAATTAGCCATTAAGAAGGCTATAAACTTGCCCGCGGTGATAATGCATTATATCAGTGAAACTAAACATCTCAGTGTTACCGAAATTTTTCTGTGGTAACTTTTATGTAATGGTACATTTAGGAAAAATGCTATCTGATCCCTTCCCCTTTTTTAATCACAACGAGAAATAAAAACGAACATCTTTTCCTGAAGATCGAAAGGCCCTAAAACATCAAAACGCTCCTTTCGTGAGCGAAATGCTAAGCCAATCCAATCCAATTGATAGAGTATCACAGTGACTCGGCACAGTAAACACAATTAAACAGTTACTGAGAGCGCAGACCATTAAGTTACACTGAAGAGAAATGAGTTGATGATTCTACAAATTCATTAGGTCTGCATAAGGGGCAGGTTGGAATCAAGACCATATGAAGTGATCGTACTTTTTTTGGACCATAAAATGGATGTGTTCGTTGAATTTGAAGATATGTGACCGCTTGGCGGCGAGGCTACAGGTCATTGCAGCGACTGCAGCGCATAGGTGAACAAGTCACTGATCATAAGTCACCAGAATTTACCCAGAGACGAAGGATGGATCAGCAGAAGGACACCCTACTTCTGCTGTGTTCATTTCATTTCATTTCATTTATGTTTGTATTTTTGTGTTGTGAATTTATATATTCTGTCTCCACGCAGAGTGTATAAACCGACTCGTGAGCCCATCCCCTGAATTCACCTGAGCCTTACATTTATACCACTCATGTTTGTGTGGAGAGCCAGAAGGTGCTGTTGCTATGTACATGCATATTGGCTTAGTCGAAAGCGTGTATTCGAGTGACTGGGAATTACTTGAGAGGCAGTTCGGGGTATCTTGTAACATTAATTCTCTTGTGCACACTGATTAGCCTTGCTTATGTCTACCCAGTCCCCACTCAGAGACCGGCAAGCTACTCATGGGTACCCATTTGTCTGGAGCAGTAATAAAAATGGGCCTAAATTTCCTGAACTTGGGAAAGCCTCAAATAAACTTAGATTGGGTAAGATCGCCAGAAGGTGCTGCTTAAAGGCACGGTTCACGATAAAAATGGTTTTGGAGATTTGCACATGGTATGAATTCGGGGCCCACTCTGATACCATGTGTGCCGGAATAATGTCGAAAAACGTTCTGGATAGGGCACAATAGGGGGCCGGAGAGTGAAGCACGGTCAGCCTCCGCCCCTCGTTAGGCTGACTACGAAATCCAATTGCCGTTCACCACTTTCGCATTGGAGCAACATTAGTGAAAAATCAATAAGCTAATCGACCGCCTCCTACTGGTAATAGTATTCGGCTGTATTCCTACTATTCGACTAATATTCTGCTCTACTTTGTTCTAATTAATTATTCTCAGCCGTCATCAAAAGGATTAGGCACAATAATCTAGCTTAATATCAACAGTAGAATAAATAATATCAACGAAGAAGCCAAAATCAGCCGTTTGAGCGTGTTGTGTGCAATTGCAGACATTACGTCACCTTCGTCTCCCCGCCTGAAAGTCCCTAAATCGCCGTTTTTTCGCCGTTCGTCCGACCCCCTTTTCTCTCCTTTTTTATACTTTGTATTTTTTTTACTCATCGTTTTTCGTGTTTTCCTCTTCTCCACTGTACTACTGTAGGCCGTACCTAACATTTTTCGTCAAAAACCGGATACCCCAAAATTATCGTGAACTGTGCCTTTATATAACAGCGCTGTGGCTGATCTAAGCATTGACGATATTCCTTGTGTATGCTTCAACATCAAGCTACGATTCGAGAAGGAGAAAGGACTAAACTTCTCCACGGGCATTGTGGAGTGCTTGACCACAAAAAGCAATTTGAAGGCTCCCTATGGGGGTCTACGAAACGAAATAGAATAGAGAGAGAAGGACTGTCGAAGTTATCGTGCCCGCCTGCAGGATTCGCGTTAATTCTTCTTTACATTAGCGATAGATTAGGTAACCACCCGGTGGACATTTCCATGGAATCGATCCCGTGATCTTAATGGAAAACTTCGTCTGACGAAAGTCGTTGTTATTCCGAACTGAAACAGTATCGGACTATAGTCTATTTCGCGCTAGGTTCTGTTTTTCCGTGCGTGGAGGGGGAGCAGCGATATTCAGAAAACGATGCCCCAGAACGGTTACCAACTAGAATCGCTCCGCTTGAGTCTTTGTGAGAGTTTCTTTATCAACAACACCGATCAGGAATACAGCCGGCACGCCAAGCATCTGAACGATAGCGCTTTAGACAGTCCGCAAGTTGCCAAAAATGCCTCTATTCGAATCTTCCGAGCTAATGCAGGCAATCACAACCTAACATCCGACATTATGAGGCTGTGCAGAGTATCGATAGAGGAAGACTGAAAGGAAGATGAGCAGCAGTTCTGGACGAAACGGCCAAAACTGGAAACAACATTCGCAATCTCCTCGGAGCTTCGCAGATTACACAACCAAGGCGGCCTTACTTTGTTGTTTCGAATAAATAGTTGCAGCATCTGGAAGAGCAATGGGGAAGGTCATTTGCGGCTTCTACTCGGAACTCTCCGACAGCAACTCTATTGTTTACCCTCCATCTCGGGCACGATGGATACGCCATCCCTTAATTTCTCTCTTTCAAAATTCGACATGCCATCATTTCTAGAACTGGTGGAGTGTAAAAACTTGGACCTAGTAGTATGGTAACTGTGACCCAATTTGCATGCTTTCTGTAATATGCTGTTGTCCCAAAGTTAACTTATATTCCGACTTAAATTGCATTGTATTCCATTATATTCCAAACCGAGCAAGACTATGGGATTCATACACACTTTTGCTTACATTGTGTTCAATATCGCAGAAACGAGTCAGACTAACAATGCAAAAACAGTAACACGTGCAGAATTCCTTTAGAGACAAAAAGCAACAGTTGGAGTCTAGTATAAAAGCAGTACAGACGCCACATTCCATTGCCAGTCCCATTTGTTTCCTAGATTCATTTCTCTTTGCATTCTATATTTGTACTTTCACTTTGCTCATGAAGATATACAGTTGTCGTGCATTAACGATTGCAGTCGATTAAATTGACAGTAGTTAGTAGTTAATTCCGACAACGAAGAGGAGCAAAAACCAATCGCGCACAGACAACTGTCTTCAGAGACTCGAAGCAGCAAAATATCGGGTTCGCGAGTTACCGGTTGTTGACCATATCACATTCGAAGATGACAGCAGTTATGCACCCTTATGGAAGGAAATTTGACGAATTGCTGAAGATAGTACGAAAGCCAAGGAGACTTCAGGCAGTTCTACCGAATCTGAAGAGACCTACAGGTTTCCTCAATTGCATAATCAGTGTGACTCGTGACGTTATGTGTAGCAAATGCTGCTGTAATCGATGACAGAGAAACCGTCCTTTGCAGTGACTCACAGGCCGACTCTTCAACATTGAGCAATCAGCATTCAGAAAGAAAGCATTTTTTCATAACATAATGTCTTTGTTTATCATGATAACTACATATTTCAGATTATATTGTTCTACGCGAGCCGAAAGACCGTTTCAAAAAAAGCTTCAGCTCGACCCATTACTAGGCTTCTGCGCCGATTCCTCACCTCGTCCAACAACGTTTCGGACAACTACCAACGACTTCAACTGGACAACATCTGAGGACAATATTCCCGCATCAGGCTACGTAACCAGTTGACTTGTTGATTTATAATAGTCAAACTTTGAGAAATAAATATCTCATCAACAAGCTTTGCCCAGAAACACTGTACCGCGTGGCAACTCAAAAAGAGTTTATTGGCGAGCAGACTACAAAAACACTACATTTGATGTATCGACTGGGAATCCAACACGGGCCGAGTGAGTGAAACCCCTGAGTGAAAATCTCAACTCCTGTGGGACCACCGAAGAACGAGAAATGGAAAGATTAAAAACAGTTTACGACATGAAGGTGGAAAAGGAACATCGCATGATAGAACAGCGATGGAGGGAACAACAGGGTGAACTTTTCGACGAGGATTTCCTTATTCAGCTGATTAACAAAGAATCTGTGAAAGATGAGGAGCAGGAGACCAATAAGAATTCACAGGTCGATTATCAGCAAAAACGCTCTATTCATTACATCTATAGAGATCTCGAAGATTTGGAGCATGTTCACGTCTACTCCCTACTCGTCGAATAAGTGGTTCCATCGGGCATCATTCCCTGGAATAATTGTGCTTTTTTCAAAGACAAAGAGTTCACTACTCTGACTCGTGCTCTGGTTTCCCCGATGGAATTGGCGATACCGCCTCATTCGACAAGGGGGCAGGTGCGTCTATTGTTCGGGGAGGAGTAATCCTTACGTTGGATGACGTGAAAGAAGAAAGGAGTGCCGGCATTGAGTGATAGTGAAAAACACAAAACTGAACTTCCTCATTCTTAGAAATACTGGGCATCATTGTTCCTGCACCATACCAAACTCGAAAGAAAGCACAAGAAACGTTATTGAGGTGTTCCTGCTTGGGGCGTTAAAGTCGCAATGGCAACTCATTTGCTTCGGGAGTGTAGCAAATGCTACTGTAATCGATGACAGGTCTTTTTTTATAGTGACAACTACATTTTTTAGATTATGTTGTTCTACGCAAGCTTCAGCTAATCTCTTCACCAGGCTTCAGCGCCACCTCTTCACCAGGCTTCTACGCCAATTCTTCACCTTTTTCAACGACGCTTCTGCGACTACCAACGACTTCAACTGGGCAACATCTGAGGGCAATATTCCCGCATCAGGATTTGTTGATTTATAATGGTCAAACTTTGAGAACTAAATATCTCATTAACTGTCTTTGCTCAGAAACACTGGTACTACCGCGTGGCAACTCAACGAGTTTATTGGCGAGCAAACTACAAAACACTATATTATGTTGTTGTGCTCTATCTTTTCTAATCTTTGAAGCCAAACCAATGCAAACAGTAGTGAGAAATGAAGGGAATGCAAGCGCACCTTGAACCTTGCAACCTTCGAAAGCAGACACGGAAAATTGCGAACCCCGATTTCTCAGCCTCCGTTGCCACCCTCGAGTCCTCAACGCATCGGCACCAATTCTCATCGCTCTTGGAGTTATCAGACGCGGAAGTTATGCTTGGAACACAATGTTGGATCAACCACTCCACTGTGGAGACGCGCAACGTAGCACTCAACCGATGATAATCCGAATGGAGACGATTGAGAATGACACAGCAGACCAACTCGTAACTGTCAATGACTTCTACGCTGAACTGAGAAGTTTACCAACAACAACCGTTCAGAATGAACAACAGGAAACACAGCTAGAATAGAAAAACCTGCTGGCTTCTTTGGGTGCAGTAAAGAACTCAGTTGACGAACTCACGAAAACGATAGACTGCTATCCGCCGCGACATTCCTCAGAGCCAACAATTCCACAACTGTGGCAAACCACAATCGAACACTCGAGATGGCCCGAGCCTGCCAAGCAGTATCAGATAGACAGGATAATGATATAGCTTCCGGAGCCAGGGTCCAGATACGAGAAATCAGCACTGGAGTTCCTTCGAGGACTCATGGAAACAAGAGAACAAATGAACGAGAACAGGGTCAAAGATCTCTTTAGAAGGCTGCCGTGTTGCTCGAAATACTAGGACTCGGTTGGGACAAAGAGGCCAACATGGGCTGCATTTTCTGCGGAGCTCGTGGAAGACGCTATAGTAGTTCCTACCCAATGACCAGACGGCAGGAGACGTCTGGTAATCTGCAGGATGAGAGGCGATGCTTATTGTGTTTGGAAGTTGGATGTGAGCAGAGTTGTCGCAATTTTCGGACACTGAAGCGAACAGGTCACCACGCTGCAGTTTGCGAGATGCCAGATGAAGCTCGATATATGGAACTATGAGTCGAAGGGTCGCGAGAGGATCCAGCTGAAACGAAGTCAAACTCAATCTCATCAGAGAACGATTTATCTTGAAACCCCTGCCTTCGGCATCCTCTCCTCGAGGCCCGAGTATTGCAGATGCGAGCCAGACTAACAATGGAAAAACAGTTAACAGGGGCAGAATCCTTTTAGAGTCAAAAAGCAACAACTGGAGTCTAGTATAAAAGCCGTACAGACGCCATATTCCACTGCCCGTCCGAATTGTCTCCTCGACTTACTTCTCTTTGCATTCTATATTTTTATTGTCCACTTTGTTGTTGTTTATTGGGAAATATGCAATTGTCGTGCATTAATGATTACGGTCGACTAAACTGGTAAATGTTATCGTCACCATGGGGTTCAATTAATTGCCCAAGTTTGAGTAAATAAAGCGGTTGATCGCTAGTGCTGGATCGTGAGGAAGCTAATTCATGCAATAACAAGTCTCACTCACATTCCGATATATTCCTAATGAGTACGGATACAGGCTCGAGGCCTGTTTTCGAACTCCTCTCGCACGTTACAGGTATGCTCCCTCTGTTTCTTTCCAGTTGTTAAAAAGACTTGTTTTCGAAGTCTTTAAACTGAAATGGCAAAAGTAGTGAAACCTATGGCAAAGCGACAGACAGAGCAAGTCCATCGTAAATATTGATTGGACGCGAATTAGTAGCGGTGCTCCGCAATGATGCTTATGGGTACAGCTTTCGCTTTCATTGAGGATCTCGGGTGTGGTGCAGTAGGAACGAAATTGTCGCGTCGCGTCGAGAAACGTCGTGCGCGGAGGAATGTAACAGAATGCAGCAGCGAGTACGAAATACAGAAACAAAAGGACTAACAGTAGAATGCTTAAGCTAGTTCCTGTTCATCGGTTGTTCTTTTATTATTTTTGTTCACACAAGCATACCTCGTGTAATAAATAAATAAAAAATAAATAAATAAATATATATATAGAATCATATCAAAAGCTATAATCACTTAGTGATTGAGCTGTATGGAGGTGGCTAGAACTGTTATAATGAGGCAAATGGTCCGCGACAGCTGCGTGCGTCGGATTGATTACAAAAAAACCGTTCCTACTGCCCGTCTCTCGGGGATCTCTAATCTGCGATATCTTGCAGAGAACAAAGTTGTGTATTCGCAGTGGTGGTCATGATTCACATTTGATAGCCCACAGACGGTATATGAAAACGTACAATATTCAACAGATTGACTTTGAGGGCTTCTTCGTAAAGTGGGAATTTGTACGCACAGGAATCATATGAATCGTTTGAGCGGCTCAATTTCAACCGGCATTGTCATGATCTCTTTAGTGGAGGGAATTTACTGTCCCATGAACGTGCGATACAGTAACCCCCTAGTGGCTTTTGCCAAGCATTGTACATTCAATTACTGAATGTATGTATATGATGTGGAACTGTGTGACTTACTTGCAACTTACTTGCAGGAGTCCATTTGAGTGTTGGTCCGATCGGATAGGGGAATGTGGCAATATGATAAAGTAGTCCTGTGCCCAGACCGATCATAGTCCAAATTCGTTCACGTCCTTTCGACACACTAAAGTATGACAGTCGAACAAACGATGCAGAAACAATTGCCAGAGTTGCCGGAAGAAATTATGGAAAATATAAAGTCATATCAAAAATTATTGCAAAATTGATGACGGTCTGCCAGTCACATACCGCGCTTCTACTCGTGCTTATCTAATTTCTTGTGCATCCATGTGGCTTTGTCGCGACCCCGGTCCCTGGGAGCTGAAGTGCATCGGCGGGGGTACCCAAGGTCACGCCAGAATGTGGGTATTGTAAGGGCCCACACTCCCTCTGGAGGGGTTAGTC